TCACGTCAGGAGGACGTCCCAAGGCACTGACATGATGATGACGTGATAAGGTGCTATTACATAGAAGGATTATTATTATATTATTTCTCATCCCATTCCTACAATTCTGGAGCGTGTTACTGAAGGGATGAATAAAAGTGGCATGTTAATATTAAAAAATGTCTGAATCATACATACCTTCACAATTATATACCATAATCGGTATGTTTGCTGCCCATGTTAAGGGATTATTGAATTACATAACAATTAGACTGGTTTATAATTTAGTTTCTAATGACTAGGTGGAAGATCTGGGTAAAATGTAGAGTCCTGTAGCTCAGTGGTTAGAGCACTCGCCTTGCAAGTGAGAGACCTGAGTTCAATTCCAGGCAGAGGGCGAAACCTTGGGCAAGTTTCCTTATTCCACACAGAGCCTAATAATAATCCCTCCAAAACAATAATAGGTCATTTTCAATCTACGGCTGTTTGTGGGACACTGCTGTGTGCAATTGACTGCCGTTTCGCCCACAAATATACAGTCAATTCACTTTACAGCATATTCTGTGAAATGCTTTGAGATGTCGAGAAGACGTGAAAAGTGCTATATCAAATGCAAGGATTATTATTATTATTAAAAAACAATCCCTTGCTAAAAATTAGGGACCATTTATCAGTGATGTTGATGACAAACTAAAAAATAAATAATAATCCTGTGGTTTTGTGGCAAAATAAATCTGTATTGGCTTTTGACACATTGAAGTTCCCAAGCCTTGGCTTTTACCAACCTCCACCTACTAGACTCTGGAATTGGAAAAACAGAGTGTGTCCCTCCAGGGAGAGGGTGCACATTCCATTCCAGACACAAGGACATCTCCCTAATCTTTAGGAAGGGATTGTTGTTTAATAATAATAATAATCCTTACATTTGATATAGCGCTTTTCACGTCTTCTAGATGGCACATATACTGTGGAACTCTCAGTCTGGTTTGGACACTCAAAGTTGTGTGTTCCAGTCCCATGTTAGGACTTGGAGCTCATATTTTAATCATGCAATCGATGAGCCTTTAATTATAATAATTATCTTTTCATTTGATACAGTATATTATCACGTCATCAGTACATTTCAAAGCATTTCACAGGAGATACTCTAGGATGGTGTGACTGTGTGTATATTGTGGGTGAATATTGCAGCCAATTTGCACATAGCAATGTGCAAATGACATTGCTATGTGCAAATTGGCTGCCATATTCACAGCCATGGAACGAATGATCAATTGTATTTGGGGAATGTTGGCCAGCAAATTGGGAGAGACTCCATTCTCTTTTCGAACAATGTCAATAACAAACAAACAAACAAATAAAAAAATAACAATCTTTAACGTCCACTTGGACAGGCATACAGAACCTTGATTTAACATCTCATGTGAAGGATGAAACCACCGACAATTCAGCAAACTCAGAGCACTGCACCACAGTGTGAGTATAGACAATATGGGATTAAACCCACAACCTTTTGAAAAATTTTCAGAAATAGAGTGAGAGCCTGAGCTGGATGGGAGACGATGGAGTTAGCTGTGATGTGACCTGCCTATTCAGCAATGGTTCAGCCAGTTGTAAGTGTGGAACTTGAGCAATAACTGCTAATCTTTTTACAAGGTGAATATGACAATCAAGAATAACTGAAACTGGATTGAAACTATGTCATACTATGTCATAGTGCAAGCTGACAGATAGCAAAAGGGTGAAAGTTTGAACTGAATCTCATATTTATAGTGGCCCCATTATCTAATTTTACCCATTCCTTTAGCTGAGTATTTACAGAACAGCTGACTGGCAGTCACAGTACATTGCAGTGATTCAACCAAGCAGCTGAAACATCAAGAGTGAAATGATAGAGGCTTTTAAAAAGTCAACAAAAATTGAGATTGGATTTATTGACTTAAATTTACTGCTAGATTTTCATTGTTCTTTGTTTCATAATAATATCTGCATTATATATTGCACATTAGCATGTCTAAATAAGTGTTTTGGATAAAGAATTAATTTGAAGAGTAATAATTCTTGTTGGTGTCAACCTGGCTCACTTGGTACTGTTGCCTCCGAATAGGTGGGTTCAAGATTGTGTTTCCCTTAGATAAAAATATTGATCTTTGTGGGATATTGTTGTAAACAATTTCGGGTCCTCAAAGTGTGTTTTTTGCAACCTGGACCGAATATTTTCTGGAATTAGTTAAGCAGGATGTGTCCCTCCAGAGAGAGAAAGTGCACACTCCATTCCACCAATCTTAACTCTGGAATTGCCATGTATTGGTGTGAAGCATGGAATTCTCAGTTTGGTTTGGATTCGCTTAACCATGGTGTTGGGTTTATACATGTGTTAGACACCTGGCTGACCCAAAAAGTGTAAATCTTTAAATGATAAATGCTGCCTTCTTGGCCCGAGTAACAAATCCAGTATCTGTCCAGGATCAGGCAGCGTGTAATTGGTATCCAGACTGGCTTCAGTCTCAAGTAAGGACTT